TAAGTCCTTTTGTACTTTTACCCATAATGGTTCATAATTATTCTTATAAAATTTCCCATTTGAAGCAGTTAAATATACTCCCAGAAATTTAACCTTTTTTACCATCTGAAAACCTGTGGCTTTAATCAAACTTTCCCTATCCTTAACTGACATATTCTTAGATAATATCTTGGTCTTGTAATTGTTAACTTTAAAACCAGAAACATTCCCATACTGTGTTATAAGTTCTAATAAACAGTCAATCGCTTGATTCGGTTGTTCCAAAATTAAAACCAAATCATCCGCGAAAGCCCGCAATTTATACTCATTCTTCCTTATCTTTACACCCTTGATTAGCTTTGATTCTCGAATCTGAATCAATAAGATTTCCAGCGTTAAAACAAATAACAATGGGGATAATGGACATCCTTGTCTTGTCCCTTTTTGAATATTAAAATTCTCAGTCAGTCCCCCATTTATGACAATTTGTGCAGATTGTTGCTGGTCTATAGCTTTAAGTGCATGTAAAAAATTATCCCCAAAGTTCATTTTCTCTACCAATGAAAATAGAAATTGCCAGTCTAATTGATCAAAAGCTTTTTCAGCATCCAAAAAGATAAAAGCCACAGGAATCTGGTTGTTCTTATCCAAGTACTCAATTAAGTTAATAATTTGTCTAACATTATGATTCATATATCTCCCTGTTATAAATCCTGCTTGATCACTATGAATCAAATCTTTCATAACCTGCATTAATCTATTTGCCAGAATTTTAGCAAAAATCTTATAATCAACATTTAATAATGAAATTGGCCTATAATTCTTAGGCTCTGTAAGATCCTGATCCTCCTTCGGAATCAATGATATGAAAGCTCTTTTCCAAGAAGGAGGAACTTGCATACCCAACAAAATACTGTTAAAGAGTTCCTTTAATGGCCCTATCATTTTTTCAGATAAAATCTTATAATACCTCGAGGTCAGTCCATCTGTTCCAGGAGACTTTCCAACCTTTAACTGCTTGATAGCTAAACCAATTTCCTCCACAGTAATTAAACTATTCATCCCATTTTGTTGTTCCTCTGAGAGTTTAGGAAAATGTACTGATTGTAAATATTTATCTATGTCAAAACCCTTTATGTTATCACTTGAATATAATTTTGTGTAGAAATCTAAAAAACTCTTTTTAATCAGATCTTGTTGAAAAACCTCAGTACCTTTATATTTTACTTTCTCTATAATTCTAGCTTTCTGTTTCTTTCGTAACTGATAAGCCAACCACCTCCTAGGCTTATTCGCATTACAAAAAGTATTATGTCTCATATATGACAGATTGGTAGCCACCTGATCTGCCATCAACATATTAAATTGTTCCTTAAGCATCTTTATGGATATCTTTAAATTATTATCAGTTGGGTTAAGAACCAACTCTTGTTCTTTTAATTTAATCTCTTCTTCTATTTCTCTACGTCTTCGTAACCCTTTTTCCCTAAAAACTTTATTCAATTGAATCAAAATTCCCCTCACATATGCCTTACTGGCATCCCAAACCATAGACATCGATGTACCCTTATTCATGTTTATAGCAAAAAAATCCTTTAAATGCTCTTTACACTTTTGTATGAACTCTTCCCGATTAAACAAATTCTCATTCAGTCTCCAAGATCTTCTATTCCCATCTTCCAAATATAATTCCATCCATACCGGACTGCGATCTGACAATGTTCTGGAAAAAAATTTCACCTTCCTCACTCTAGAGAGGAAGTCACTAGTGATCAAAAAAAAAATCAATCCTTGAAAATGACTGATGTCTATCTGAATAGAAAGTAAAGTCTCTATCACTTATGTTCCTTTCTCGCCAAATATCAGTAAGCTCCAATTCTTCTTTCAAGTCAAAAAAAGTCTTAGGTAGTTTGGTTTGGGTAAAAGTTTTAGAAGAGCTTCTTTTGTCTATAGTTGAATCTAAAACCCCATTCCAGTCACCCATCAAAATTACCGATTTGTAATCCAACTGAGATATCTTCCCATGCAGCAACTTATAAAATTGTTTCTGTTGTTGATTGGGAGCATATAATCCAACAATAAGAACTTTTTGGCCTTGTGATAATAATTCCACAAAAAGATATCTTCCTTCAGAGTCAGCCTCAATTAGTTTAGATGAAAAAATTTTCTTCACATAAATTACCACTCCCCCTTTTTTCCCTGGAGCTGGAGCAATAAAATGTGAACCCAAACGAGAATTCATCAAAAGTTTAGAGTCCTTTAAAGTTATATGAGTCTCTTGCAAACATATCAAGTTGTTATTATGTTGTTTCAAATAGTGAAAAACCTTTCTTCGTTTCTGTGGCACATTTAAGCCATTAACATTCCAGGTCAGGAACCTGGCCATCTCCACCGGCCTGGAGCCTCTGGAGCATAGCCTGCAGATCCACTGTCAAAGATCTTTTTGGTGCTGCTCCTCCCACAGGCTCTGTAGTAACCATACTTTCAACTTTTCACCACTCTTCTGCTGCTGCTCTTTTTCTTTACGTTTATTTATTTATGAGACGTATATACCGCTTTAAGTGCAAGCACTCTCTAAGCGGTGTACACCAGTAAGCAATGTATATATATATTTTACATTGCCCCCAACAATCTGGGTCCTCATTTTACCTACCTCGGAAGGATGGAAGGCTGAGTCAACCTTGAGCCGGTGAGATTTGAACCGCTGACCTGCTGAACACAGTCAGATCTTCTGGAAAAATAGATAACCACATCTCTTGGTAAATTTCTCTGTCTGGCAACCTGTGAGTTAACTCTAAAAAATTTTTCTATCTCATTCCCAATTATTTCAGGCCTCCAGCAAAGATTAAGAGCAATATCTTTCACAATAAGCATCTTTAAGTCCTCCTGAGAATTCTCTCTCAACCCTCTGATACGCAATGCATATTCCATCTCTCTGTATTGTGAAATGGTTTGTTCATCCTGTGTGATTTCTATCTTGTTCTCTACCTCCTGAATTCTAGATCTGCTGTGATTATCTTAATTGTGGCAAAAAGATCATAAAATGGAGCAAAACTCACTTAACTGCTGTCTTGTTTAGTAATGGAAATTTTGGGCTCAATTGCAATTGTAAGTCAAGGACTATCTGTACAGGATTTATTGTGGATAAAAATAGTGTAATACAGTAGTGTAATTCCTGCCTTCAATGGACGAGGTGTCGGAAGTCATGTAAAATCCCATACAAATGTATGTGGTATTTATATTTCTCTTATTCTGAAAGCTTAATTCTGCTGACTGCAGAATTCATCCTTTCATCCTTCGGTAAAATGAAGACCCAGATTGTTGGGGTAATATGCTGACTCTGTAAACTGCTTACAGAGGGCCGTAAAGCACTGTGCAGCAGTATTTAAGTCTAAGTGCTATTGTTATTAAGGGAAGAGATACAGTATATATACCATTGTGTTGGATTCTGCTGATCTCTTCCTCTTAGCTTGAGGAACTATCCAAATCATGCACTCAGTGGTTGCAGGAAGTCAGTTGGTTGTGTAATTTCAGATAGAGAATAAGCCCCACAGAATAACTTCTGACTGTTCACATATGAAAAATCCCCATAGAATGAAACTGATCAAATGGTGCCTCTTAGTAATCAAGCAACTAAAAATATTTTGCTTATCGTGTGAAGCACACACACAATCAGGGAAGATTGTTTGGCAGTAGTAAGAAGAGAGACAACAGAGGCCAGATTGAGGTAGACAAAGGAAGCAACAAATTCTACCTCACGGTAATTTTTGCTGACTCAAAATGCATGGATACTTTGCTGCAGTAAGTATCAAAATGCATGGATACTGCCATAAAGGCCAGAACCCATTCCAAGTGGGTGTATAAAAAGGCTGCAGCCAGGTAGAGCTGTATTCATTATCAATATCATATGAAACACCACAGGCGTGGTGTTTCATATGATATTATAATGATATAATATATCATTATATTTCCATTGCAAGACTTTTAACTGAAAATGTTTAACATCGCAAATCCTTATGTATTTGACCTATTAGCTATTACTAGCAACAACTATTAGCGGCAGAAATATGGAGGGATACCTTACCTTTCATCTTTCTTTAACAAACATTTTGACTGAGCATGTAAACAGTATTTATAAACATATTTCTGAAAATATAATCTTCTAAGGAAAGTGGCAGTCCAAGGAGACTCAAATGCTGAGAGTTGAGTTAGAATACTGCAAATATGGCATGTATTCATTACTAGTTTTACCAGCAAAACATAATAGGAAAGTAGCATCTGTTGGCTTGTTAATTTTTGGAGATTCCATTTACATTCAGTTTGTATGTATGATTAACTAAACTAGATGACCTCCAAGGTCCCTTCCAACTGTTGTTGTTGTTGTTGTTGTTGTTGTTATTGTTATTATCACAGTGAACTTCATTATTTATAAATAATGAATAAATATCCATTTAGTTAAGGATAATAAAGTCTTGCATGACTCAGGGTTGAACTGTGGGATTCTTGGTGCTATCTGAGCTTGCAGACAGTTCACACAAATGAAGTTATCTAGTTGGGTAATGAAATGCCTACAAGGTAAGATTCTCCTAATAGCTACTTTGAATATTCTTTTTTAGAGAAGGATGAAATAAGGTACAATATAGAAAAAATAATAAAAACAAAGTATGACATCTACAGAATGTTTTTATGGTCAATCATTCGATTATACCATTTATAGCAGCCTTATCTAACCTGGTATCCTCCAAATTTGGGTCACAATTCACAGAATTTTCATGAAGACAAGTTGATGGGGCCTCATTCATTGCTACAGCACCTCAGGAGAACTACTTTCAATAATCTGTAATTATCTTCTCAAACATGTTATACATGAGATAAACATTTATCATTGTATTGGATAAATGTACATAAAACACATTCAGAGGAAGTGATTGCATAGTGTGTGCAAATGTGGATTGTAGGAAAGTGTTGCTACTAGAGCAAATTCTGAAGAAAAAGGAAAGAAACTCTAGCACATCATCAAGGATTGGTCAAAGCTGATTTATTTAGCAAGAGGATTGCAAACATTTTTTTTCTTAATGGCAATAGCTTTTGCAACCGATGTTCCTCTTGTCTGATTATTTAACCTTTGTGGGGAGGTCTCCAGTATGGCCACTTAGCATGTGGATATGGAGCAGCAGGAAGACGAGCAGGAGCTGGGATCGGGGCTGGGGCAAAAACAGGCACTGGATGACGAGGATGTACAGGGTAAAGGTTAATACAACAAACACCACCATATCTTGCACAGGCACAGTTTGATTGAGAAGTATATTGAGAGGGACATTTGTGGGAACAATACCCTCTACATTCATTGGTGCATTGCCTGTTGTAACCTGCAAAGGAACAAGGGCAGTATTAGCAGATGCTGATACCTCAATTAATTAATATAGTCTTTCACAATCAAATGCTCTCTAAGTAATGTTAATACATCTTCCAAATTTTTCAGCAAAATTGGACAAGACTCATTGACATGGTGAAAAGAACTTTCTTCAAAAAACACTAAACTGGCTTAAAGTCTTGCCTGAGGATATGTCTTCTAGAGTTCATTTAAAGGAAACAAATATGGTGAGCTGTTTCCTCCAAGTTGTAGCTATAAAACCCAGAATCCTAGAGCTGCAAGTACCTCCCAGAATCTTTGATGCAGCTCCCAAAAGCTGCTGCAAATGCAGCTGTGAAATTATAATTTTGATCATGTGACATATTTAAGAGAGTCATGGTTGTCCCAAAGGTGCTTTTTCAAATGGCAACTGGGCTTTCTTTGTTTTTCCTTGAAGATGTTTGCTTCTCATCCAAGAAGCTTCTTCAGTTCCAGAAGAAGTTCCTGAACTGAAGAAGCTTCTTGGATAAGAGGTGAAACATCTTTAAGGAAAAGCAAAGTCCAGTTGCTTTCTGAAAAAGCACCTTTGGGACAACCTTGGCATGGGGGACAGAGAATCTCCATAGACAAAGAGATCATCACATACATGTGGAGTAATCATATTAAGTACATTAAATTCATATAGTTATAATTGAATTGCATGTTAAACTAAATTCAATGTAAGTGATCTCTAGGTCCCACCAGAAAAGGACTCTGTTAAAACTTTTCCCCCTTCATGTTTTACAGGATTTTTTTAAAGTTTACAGAGACGTCTTACATTCCAAACTGACACTCTTACTATTAATCTAAAATTATGCTGTCCATTTCATTGTGCTTCATCCGTGGACCTGATCTTAGCCCTGCCTGGAGTGAGTTCAGTCAGTTTTCAAGTCTTGAAGCATTTCTTTTCTCTTGAATTTCCTATCAGCTGCAGGCAGAATGTTGGTGGACAGTTCCATCAAGATAATAAAATTGTCCTTCCAGCCCACCTTTCTTCACTTGGTTTGTGGCAATGGAACACTTTGTTTTTGCCATTGATTTAACTCAGAAGATTTAGACATAACACTATAACATCACTCTGAAGCAAAATAGAAGAAAATACTTCATTAACTCTCAGGGTCTCCTGAGTTCAAGAACAAATGTTTTCAAACAGTCTGGAACACCACTACCAGTAAATATGACTTATTTTTGCACTCTGTCAAAAATTCATCCTAGTTAGGCATTGTGAATGGGGAACATTCCAATTCTACTTCACTTTTATTTCAGCAAAGCAGGAGGCTTTCAACAGAAAAATTAGATTTCATGTCCCAATATTTCCCGCAAACGTGATTATTCTAGAGGTTGATGTCTAGCATAATGGATCTGTCTACAACCCTATTGGTGGGATGGATGGCATAGAAGTTTAACAAACAAACAAACAAACAAACAAACAAACTGGAGAACATCAAGATGGGGAAGAATCAACTAAAGCTAACAGTGAATTGAAATGTTTCTTATTTATCTAACAAGTGAACAGAGAATCCAGATTTTTCAGGGCCATTAATTTAAAGCAACTGATGGGTCTTTCATCTTCATTCTAAACTATAATGATCTGAAGGGAGGCAAGAATATTTTAAAATTATTTGGTCCTTTTTTTAAAGAATTAGTTTAGATGTTGGAATCAAACCATGAAGCTTTAATCCTCTACTAGACATGGAAGCCAGCTGGGTCACTCATTCTCCTTCAGCCCAACTCACCTCTCAGAGTTGTAATTGTGGGGAGAATTGAAGGCAGGAACATTATTGCTTTGAATTGTATAAAATTATAAAAGGATATAAATAGGAAGTATAAATAATGAATTTCATCTTCCTTCATATCTAATACCCTGACCCAGCATTTGAATCTTTCAAATTATTAAATGTTATGGACTGAGATTTTCCAGGTTTTTTAAAGCAAAGTCTGTTAATTTCAGATTTCAATACATTTCTGGAGAAAACTTTATTTTAGAATCATATTTCACATGCAAAATTTGAAAGCATTACCAATCCTAGCCAACCATCCTGAATGATCCATAAATTAGTAAAAAAATCTATTCAAATATATCCTTCATAGAATCCTCAAATAGTCTAAACGGATGTGTATGCATTGATATTATTCTGATGTGTTGGACATATACTAGGCAGTATCTGCATCATCTTGGGAAGACTCTCCCATCTCTCTACTATAAAAGTAAGGCCACTCATCCTTTAGATCAGTGGTTCTCAACCTGTGGGTCGGGACCCCATTTGGGGTTGAACGACCATTTCACGGGGGTCGCCAAACAACGCAGTCTGCCATTTTTTCCTCCTTTCCCTTAACTGTGCTACTCCCTTTTATTCTATTGGCTTTTGAAAGCCAATAGAATAGACTCTCTTGAATAGAGTCTAATTCTATTGGCTTTCAAAAGCCAATACAAATTGTCCAGGCTGTCTCTGCCCTGCTGAGCCCGCCAAAAGTCCCATTCTGCAAACAGTGCTGCACCAGTTGAGTAGTCCTCAACTTACAACCGGTTGGGGGTCGCGGCATTAAAAATATTGAGAACCATTGCTTTAGATGAAGCTCAGCTCCAGATGATGATCAGGACATTACCATGTTGTATTTTTGGTAAGAATACAGAAATAGTTTGCTATGTCTTCTTCTGGGATATTTTGTCAAAGTCAGCAGTCTAATCTACAGCCTTGGTATTTTCAGGTGCTCTCTCATTAAATGTACACTGAGTTAGGCAATAGTTAACTCTCCTAGATCAGCTAAGATTACTACCATCTTCCTATTATGCATGATTTTTAAAATACTAAATTTCAGGGAATTATTGTTTATTTGTATTTATTTGTTAGTTTTAAAGCAGAATATATTGTATTCCTTTCAGTTATGATTTATTAATATTTACTTGTTAGATTTAAAGTAGAATATATGGCACTCCCTCCAAGTTTTTCTAACCATGCACTTTGCAGAGTGAAAAAGAGATTGGTTGAAAGTCATTTGATGAGCTTCCATAGTTGAAGCTGAACAAGTCACTTTGCTTTGTGAATACTAAGCAAGGCATCTAAAAACTAATTCTCCAAACCCACAGCCTATGTCCTCATTCATTCTCTTTCATTTTTAAATTAATTTTTGAAAATTATCCAATTCCCATTTCTACACTAAAGAATATGTCTTTAACTGCAAAGAGGTTAAATTAATGAGATTAGTCTCTCCACTCAGAGCTATTTTCTTTCCTTTTGCACTTTAATTCATATACCAATCACCTGGTTTTATCATGATTCAATGGGCCAATGCTTCTACTACTATACAAATAACCAACCAGTTATTCATGGTATATATTTATACAATATACTAGGCCAAAGATAAAAGGCCATGGGGAAGTTTGTAATTCTAAGCATCCCTTGGAAACTCAGCCTTTCTTTTAGCATGCTGTGTGAGGTAATCATCTTAAACTATAATATAATGTCTTTGGGTTTTGCCTATTATGTTAACTTAGTAATTGTAGTTAGTTAGGATTATGACTGAAAGCATTTCATAAACAAGCCTTGGAACCTAAAAAGCATGATAAATTTCATCTATTCTATTTCCCATCCCTCCCACAAAATATGTGGAGGATTCTTCTCTCATTACCTGCAGAGGCCATGGCAACAAGCAGGAACATAGCAAAGGCAAGGAAGATGGCCCTCATGATGAATGGCTGGACCAGATCTTGTTTGAAGAGTCAAGATGACAGACAGAGGCTGAAAGAGAATTTGTGCAGAAAATTTGATGAGGAATAAGTATGGAACCCTACTATTTATGGAGATTTCACTCAATCAGGAAGGAGGAACTTGGAAGAGCATGGTGTATGGATTGTTCTCGTAGAACATTATGTCATCTTGACCTGTACAAGTTCTTCCAATTGAGGTGGGCAGGAAAAAGCCGAGGTGGCGCAGCAGTTAGAGTGCAGTACTGCAGGCCACTTTAGCTGACTGTGTTCAGCAGGTCAGCGGTTCAAATCTCACCGGCTCAAGGTTGACTCAGCCTTCCATCCTTCCGGGGTAGGTAAAATGAGGACCCAGATTGTTGGGGGCAATGTAAATATATATATACATCGCTTACTGGTGTACACCGCTTAGAGAGTGCTTGCACTTAAAGCGGTATATAAGTCTCATAAATAAATAAATAAATAAATAAATAAATAAATAAAAAGTCAATATATCTTAATAGGAATGCTTGATGCTGATAATAGTTAATGGATAATATTAAGTTTGGCTGTGCAATGTAACCTAAATCATATAACCTGTGTGTCATAATTATAGAGATGTGTTCATGCTATGTAGAAACCATTTTACAAGAAGTGTCAGTGTCAACTAAAAGTCACAGATGTTGTAAGATAGCACCCATGCAGAAAGGTGTGGTAAGACAACCGTTTGTGTGAACTTCTCCTTTTTACTTATGTAGCTGCAAGATATAAACTTCTCTGTTTAGTGTGTCAAAGGTAGATAAGAGCCACCCTAAGGCTAAGGCGTGGGTGGTTAATGCTATAAGAATTACTCCCTGAGAGTAGCTCAGGGTTCAGAATTTGTCATGTGAATGCTCTGAACCATTGTGCACAAATAAAAACCTGTTATCTCCAGCCCTTCGTGGTCTTGTCTTCTGATGTAAGTATTGTGGTTTTCCACTACAATTATCTGGCGACCGGAATTTCTGTGAGATAGATTGGCCCAGCTTTAACGTAGGCTGGCCAAGCACAGGGACATTAGATCCATACATTACACAAAAGGTACATCAGCTAGTATTCAATCCCACATTAGGGACCCAGACCAGGCACCCTATATTGATGTGTGGCTTGGCTTGTTGCAAAGACCTCCCCCATGGATCCAAAAGTGTAACAAAGAGCAGTGTAGACTTCTAGTATCACGCACCTTGCCATTTCCAAAGGCTAAAAAGCCCATTCCAGTTCTACCAAGTAGTCCAGAAGAAGTGCCACATCCACCACCGTACATCCCTCCACCTGGATTGAGGGGAACCCCAGGGTCATCATCAGCATTGGGATCCATGTGGCGCCTGGACATGCTGTCCCCAATGCTAAAAGGCCTCCATTTTGAGGAAAGGAAAGGTCAGGGACAACCACCAGCCCAAGTAGAAGTCCAGGATCAAAGAGCCCAAGCAGGACCATCGTCCCAAGCAGCAGAAGGGAGCTCTGGGACTGAGGAGAAGGAAGAGCAAATGGAGGAAGAGGAGCCAGTAGCTGAAAGGACCAAGGCAAGGACAGAGCTAGTCTCTCTGAACTCTCCCCTCAGGCAAGTGGATCAATTGGTTGTTAATAAAGACGATCCTACAGACACAGCAACTGCCCCTCTATTCCAGCATGTGCCTTTCACCACTTCAGATCTTCTCAACTGGAAGTTTCATTACGGGCCGTTTAGTGAAAAGCCAAATGAAGTTGCAGACTTGATTAAGACCATTGTAGACACTCACAACCCCAATTGGATGGATATGCAACAGCTTATAGGAACATTGTTTAATCTGGAGGAAAGGGAAAAGATCAGAATAGAAGTGGCAAAAATTGTGAAGCCCGATTTGCCTTCACTTTATACCATTGAAGACTATGTCGAGGCTAAGTTCCCTTCTAAAGATCCTAAATGGAATCCATATCGTGACCTCCAAGAATTGCAGGCTTATCAGCAATTAGCAGTGCAGGCAGTCCGTGCAGCAGGGAAACCAGCTGTCAATATGTCTAAACCATCTTTGGTGGTGCAGGAAGCCACAGAGAGTCCAGAAGCATTTTATGCTCGGCTGCTTGAAGCCTACCAAATGTACACCCCTATTGATCCAACAGAACCCGACAATGCTAGAATGCTTGCCATGGCTTTTATCTCACAAAGCGCCCCTGATATTCGGAGAAAGCTGCAAAGATTGGAAGGAGCCCTAAGGAAGCCCATGAGTGAGCTGATGGAAGTAGCCCGGAAGACTTTTGTGAATAGGGAAAAAGAGGAGGAAAAGAAAAGGGATCAGAAAATGCAAAGGAAGGCTGAGCTGCTTGCAGTTGCTATGATGGCGGTGCCAAGGGGAGGTGGAAGAGGCAGAGGGAGGGGAATGGTGTTAGGACGAAACCAGTGTGCCATATGTAAAAGGGAAGGACACTGGAAGGGTGAATGTCCAGAAAGAGAGAGGGAGGAGGAACAAGGAGAGGGAAGAGGAAGATTTGCAAGATTTGCCAGAAGCTTCAGAGGTAATCTAAGAAGAGGCCAGGGAGGGAGAGGAAGAAGAGAAGGATTTTCAAGGACCCCCCTCATAGGCCTGGCAGAAACTGAGGAATGGGACTGAGGCCGACCGGGTTCAGCCCGCCTCCCAGAACCTGTGGTCAGTTTAACAGTAGGAGGCAAATCTAGTCCCTTCCTTGTGGATACTGGAGCCACCCGATCAGTCCTAACCCAACCCCTAGGCCAAGCCTCCCCTCACTCTATCAACATACAAGGAGCAACAGGAAAAATATTACAGCGACCTTTTTTGGAGCCCCTAAGTTGCACAATAGGGGGAAGAACAATAACCCACCAGTTCGTATACATGCCCGATTGCCCAATCCCATTGCTGGGGAGGGACCTGCTTTGTAAATTAAGGGCGCAGGTCTCCTTTGAAGAGGATGGCACAATGGCCATAAATTATGGAAAAGTAACCATGGAAGTTCCCTGTGAAGAGGAATGGAGAATGGTAATGCTGGCACAAGCAGTAGAAGAAAATACCAAGTGGAAAGAGTTTAATGTGCCACACCTGTGGGCAGAAGACAACCCCCCCTGGTTTTGCAAAACATCATCCTCCAATTATAGTGGAAGAAATACCAACTAAAGTACCTATCAGAATTAGGCAACGTTCATATCCCAGGGTGGTAGCACAAGCTATCCAGGAGGTAATAAACCTCTATCTAGCTCATCATATTCTAGTCACTATAGAATCAAAATGGAATAGCCCAATTCTGCCAATACCTAAGGGGGAAGGGAAGTATAGGCCAGCCCAGGATTTGAGGGTCGTAAACCAGGGCTACAGTCACTATCCACCCGGTGGTCCCAAATCCTTATGTCATTTTAGGGCTAATCCCCCCCACGGCTAAGTGGTTCTCAGTAATTGACCTAAAGGATGCCTTTTTCACAATACCTATACATAAGAAGAGCCAGCACTTGTTTGCCTTTGAGTGGGAGAACCCCGTATCTGGAAGAAAACACCAATATGCTTGGACAAGGCTCCCTCAAGGTTTTAAGAACTCCCCCACTCTCTTTGGAGCGGCATTAGGAAAGGACTTAGAGGACTTAGACATCCCCCACCCAGACGTGTGCTGCAATATGTTGATGACTTATTAGTCACTGGTCAGACAGAAGAGGACTGCTGGCAGAATACTTATGCATTATTTCAGCTCTTACAAGACCGAGGCTACAAGGCATCCCGGAAAAAAGCCCAATTGGTAGCCACGAGAGTTAGATATCTGGGATATGACATAGAGGAGGGAAAGAGAACACTTGGACATGAAAGAAAAGGAGCCATCTGTCAGCTGCCTGTCCCGAAAAACAGAAAAGAGTTAAGAGGTTTTTTAGGGGCTGCTGGCTTTTGCAGAATATGAATCCCTAACTTTAGCCTGATAGCAAAACCCCTGTATGAAGCAACCAAGGGAGGTGATAAAGAACCGTTGCAATGGGAGAAGCAAGAAGATAAGAGTTTTACAGCTCTCAAAGAAGCTTTAATGTGTGCTCCGAGTCTAGAGTTACCGAATTTGGAAAAACCCTTTCAATTGTTTGTAGATACAAAACAAAATGTGGCTGTAGGAGTTCTCACTCAGAAAATGGGGGCCTGGCATCGCCCGGTTGCTTATCTGTCTAAACAGCTTGATAATGTAGCCAGAGGATGGCTGGCTTGCCTCAAAGCAATTGCAGGAGCGGCGTTACTAACACAGGAAGCCAACAAATTGACTTTTGGGCAGAAGTTAGATATCTACACACCCCATGCTCTTAAAGCTGTTTTAGAAGCAAAGGGGCACTTGTGGCTGACCAACCCACGCATGCTAAAATATCAAGCCTTAATAACTCATAACCCAGCAGTCACATTAATTCAATCTAACTCACTGAATCCAGCCACGCTGCTGCCTGAACCAGACTTGGAAACCACACACAGCTGCATACAAGTAATTGAAGAAACTTACGCTAGTCACCCAGACATGAAAGATGTTCCCCTGCTGGATCCAGACTTTACCCTATACACCGATGGAACTAGTTTTATGCAGGAAGGAATTTGAAAGGCAGGATATGCTGTGGTGACTTTGGAGGAAATATGGGAAGCCGAACCTCTTCCGCCCGGTACGAGTGCTCAACTAGCTGAACTGCATGCATTAACGAGAGCTCTGGAGTTGGCAAAAGGGAAGTGTATTAATATCTACACAGACTCTAAATATGCATTTCTAACAGTGCAAGTCCATGGACCCTTGTATAAAGAAAGAGGACTTATCACATCAGGGGGGAAGGACATTAAATATGGACCCCAGATATTGAGTCTGCTGAATAGTGTGTGGGAGCCTCAGGAAGTAGCTGTAATGCATTGCAGAGGCCATCAGAAGGGAGCCTCAGAGATTCAAATAGGAAATAATAAGGCAGACAGGGAAGCTCGCATTGCTGCTCTAAAGGCACCTACTGAACACACAAATTGTTTAGCTTTATGGACCCCTAAAGAACAAGAGCAGGTGAAACCAAACTATTCTCAAGAAGACTTGGACAAAGCTGAGATGTTGGAAGCAAGGCAGGAAGATGGTTGGTGGATTTTGCCAGACCAGCGAGTCTTTATCCCAGGATATATGGCATGGGATGCAGTGCAACAGGTTCATAAGCAGCTGCACCTAGGAAAAGGGGCATTGGCAAATGCCCTGAAGAGAGAGGTTTATATTGATAAAGTGCACAGTATTGCAGCAAATGTCTGTGCTAGGTGTGAGATCTGTGCTGCCAACAACCCAAGGCAAGGACCCCAACTGCCTCAAGGACATCAGCCCAGAGGAAATTATCCCTTCGATTCCTTGATGATTGATTTCACTGACATGCCCTGTTCAGGTCCATACAGAGCAATGTTAGTTATAGTCTGCACATATACTGGATGGCCAGAATGCATCCCAACAAGAACAAAAAAGGCAACTGAGGTTGCAAAAGCCTTGCTTCATATTATTTTTCCTCGGTATGGGTTGCCATCTAGAATCTCTTCAGATAATGGCCCTGAATTCATCCATAAAGCCACCCAAAAGATAGCAGCTATGTTAGGGATAACTTGGAAGCTTCACTGCAGTTTCCATGCTCAATCTGGGGGTGGAAAGGATGAATAGGACCATTAAGGATGAATTGGCAAAATTATGTCAGGAAACTCAGCTTAAATGGCCAGATGCTTTGAATATGGCTCTGATGGCAGTAAGGTGTGCTCCACAAAGGGGGTTGCTTGTATCTCCCTTTGAATTGCTGTATGGCAGAGTCCCCAACCTACTCAAACCAGATGTTCAGAACACTGGGCAAGTGGCAGACACTGTAAACTTAAACAGCTGCAGGCTCTTAATCTTATAGTCCAGCGGCTACAACAATATGTTCTACCCAGGGGTAGGCAACCCAAAATACTCAAAGAGCCACTTGGACCCGTTTCCCACTGAAAACAAAACACAGGGAGCCGCAAAACCCTTTGAATATCTAAAATGAAGATAAGACTGCATATATCCATATATATATGGATATATGCAGTCTTATCTTCATTTTAGATGCCAAAAGGATCTCTCTCTCTCTCTCTCTCCCTCCCTCCCTCCCTCTTTCTGCCCTTGGTCTGCTAGTCTTCCCCGTGTGTGTGTGTGTGTGTGTGTGTGTGTGTGTGTGAGAGAGAGAGAGGCACTTGCACTTCCCCCCTTTCTCTCTTTCTTTCTTCTCTCCCTTTCTTTCCTCTCCTTCCCTTTCTCTTTCCTCTTTCTTCTCCCTTTCTCTTTCCTCTTTCTCCCTCTTTCCTTTCTATTTACTTTCTCCTCCTTTCCTCTCCCTCTCCCTTTCTTTCCTTCCTCTCTTTTTCCCTTTCTTTCCTTTCTCCCTCTCCTCTTTCCTTTTCTCTTTCTCCCTTTCTTTCCTCTCTCTCTCCCTCTTTTTTTCCTTTCTCCCTCTTTCTCCCTTTCTATTTCTTTCCTCTCTCTCCCTCTCCCTCCCCTTATTTCATCTCCCTTTCTCTTTTCTTTCTCCCTCTTTCCTCTTTCCTTTCTCTTTCCTCTCCCTTTCTCTTTTCTTCCTCTTTCCTCTCTCTTTCTCCCTTTCTATTTCTTTCCTCTCTCCTCCTCTCCCTTTCTTTCATTTCCCTTTCTCTTTCTCGCTTTCTTTCCTCTTTCCTTTCTTTCCTCTCTCCTCCCTCTTCTTTCTCTTTCCCCTCCCTCTTTCCTCTCTCCCTTTCCTCTCTCCCCAGGGGGGAAATCCTGGCTCCTAAGCTGCAGGGACTTCCAACCACAGAGCTTGCTTGGCTCTGTTCCCAGCCAGTGCCACGCGTGCACAAAACAACAACAACAAACTACTGCGATCGAGACTTACCTGCCTCGGTAGCAAACCATTTGAAGCAAGCAGCCTCATCCACAGAGAGAGGAGAGGAGAGAGTGAGGGCGGATGAGCTAAGTTTGTGGCAGGGATAACAAGGATTCGGGAGAAGCTAGCACGAAAGTTCCATGTCTTCTGACTTAGCTCGCCTTGTCCCCCACTGGTTCTTTGCCCGAACAAGTCACCCTCTCTCTCTTTCTCTCTCTTTCCTCTGCCCCCCCTCTCCAGATGAGGAGAGAGAGAGAGAGAGAGAGAGAGAGAGAGAGAGAGAGAGAGAGAAAGGCAGACGGCACCAAAGGGGCAGGGAGGGGAGGCCCGGGGATGGCCTAGGAAGTGATGCCCCCCTGCTGCAGCCTGCCCAGCCCGGGGAGACATATGGCCAGGTGAGTTACCCAGGGACGGCACAGGAAGCAATCTCCCCCTGCCACCCAGCCTGGCCTGGGGAGATGCATAACCGACTCAGTGGCCCCTGCCGCCGCCCCAGCCAGGACTGCCACCTGGCCCAGGCAGACATGTGGTCGGCTCAGCGGCCCGGGGATGGCCCAGGAAAGAATGTCCCCAGCCCGGTGTGGGGAGACGTTTGGCCGGCTTGGCGACCTGGGGACGGCCCAGGGAGCGATGCCCCCGCCGCCGCCCCCCCCCAGCTGGGACTGCTGCTCACCCCGGACCAAGGAGATGCGTGGCCAGCTCAGCTGCCCGGGGACGGCCCAGGAAGCAATGCCCTCCTGCCACCGCCCCAGCCTGGACTGCTGCCCGGCCCGGCCTGGAAAGACACATAGCCAGCTCAGTGGCCCGGGGACGGCCCAGGGAGAGATGCTGCCGCCGCCACCCCAGCCGGGACTTCCGCCCGGCACAGGCAGACAGGTGGCCGGCTCGTCGGCCCAGGAAGTGATGTCCCTGCCGCCCCAGCCGGGGACTGAAGCCTGGGGGGGCAGCAGGAGGAAGAAGGGGGGAGGGGGAGGAGGAGGCTCCGGAGCCACAGGAGATGGCTCAAAGTGCCGCATGCGGCTCCGGAGCCGCGGGTTGCCGACCCGTGTTCTAACCCAAAGACCTCATGTCCTGGTTACTCCAATACATAATATACAGCCTGGACAGGAGGTTTGGGTAAAGGACTGGAAAAGGGAAGTCTTAAGCCCAAAGTGGAAAGGGCCATATACTGTTGTTATGTGTTCTCCCCTTGCTGTTAAGGTGGCTGAGATCAAGTCGTGGATCCATTGGTCCAGGGTTAAATTGGCCGCCCCCACCCAGTGGAAAGTGCAGAGTGATCCAAGTCAACCCCTTAAACTCACCCTGCATCGTAGGAGAAGGAGCCTCTCCTCTTCTGGTGACACCCCGGAAGCTGCACCCCTGCGAACGGGAGAGGTGAAACAAACCCCTGCAGGTGTTACTCCGGAAGCTAACACCCATCGCATGGGCAACAAAAGGTCCCTACCTTGGAAACTGCGTTCACATCATTAGTCTTAGAAGTTTTTTTATTGGTTATGGATTCCACCCAGAGAATGAGGGAAACTGCCTGTATTAGGAAAGGGCTCATCCCAACAATTTGGGTGGTGGTAATGTTGTTGTTAATTACTGTTATAATTAATTCTCTGTTTCTGTATAGAGGGATCACAGTCAAAGAAAAGGGGGTTGAGGGTGTGTCTGAGGACTGGCTAATTGAACCCGATAATCTGAATATCAGTCAGGCTGTCACCCCATCCCCCACTTTAAAATCTCCAGAACCTGTATCAACCTCTGTGGGACAGGGTCTTTCCACAAGGGAGGGAGATCATAAGGGAGTAAGTGGTGATGAATATCTCTTGGGAGACCCCCGCCCTTACCCTTCAGACCACATCCCTCCTTGTGATGAATGTTTTGTAGACCTTCCTACAGGGAGACACTTTGTTTATTCCATCACACAACCTCCTAACTGTTCACCTGCCCTGTGAAAATGAGGGGCACCGATATTGGCGTTGTGTTCTTAATCCCACTATCAGGTGCCATAGCCTACGTGTTCCATGGATCCCTCCTGTACAAATCCACATGCCCCATCATATACCCCGCCGCTCAGTACGGGACAATCACCAGGTGAGACCAGGGAAGGAGCCCTGTACTCAATGTATCAAACACGATGGGGCAGTGCGAAGGAGGATTGGTAGGCCTGAAACTTGTCACCAGTTTGATCTGCCTCCCTGTGTTCATGGCCAGCGACGGGTAACCACATATAAAAGATGCAATGGTACAGAGGGGGTTCTTTGCTACCGAGAGCACCCACCTTTCTCTATCCATCGCATCCAAAGGGCCCCAGAGGAATCAGATAACTGTCACCAATGCATAACAAAGGCAACTCAAGGTGCAGCCACCATAACTACCTTAGTTTATCACACTCAAATACCGGCAGGATGTAAACAGATAGGAAAAACTTGTCTGAATAATGGCACAATGCGAATACTGTATATTCTTGCTTTGACAATATGCAAAACTGTCTGGTATTTATTGGGTTAATACTTAGCTTAGAGTGGGGGGGGGAAAGCCCAGGAAAGAAAGAGGAAGTAAACTTTTGACCTTCACACTAATTGGATAATGTGACCTGTGACTGCATGAGAAGGGAAGGGTTTAGCAAGAAAAGCTTGATGCCAGCGAAAGGAAGTTCAGATTCTGGCATCAACCCGTCCATCATGGTGACCGGCAAAACTATAGCTCTGCAATAAAGACTTTAGGAAACATGCCTGAAAGTTCTTTGAAGTGCTTCATTAGTCGGAACCTGTGACA